AGAAGCAATGACATTGCAGCGTGTTGGGTTTCGAGTGACCTGATAGAAATATATTTCTTTATCTCAATAAAAAACAGATATGTATTGTTTCCAAAATTTGAGAGACTTGGACCACCTGAGCCCGCAGGGCACAAGCCTACGCCCACTTCCACTGTCACTCTCAAGCACCACCTCATAGTAGAACTCTTCCCTCATGTCCATCAAGATCTCAGGAAGGGCATGCACAAGGCAGTCACCATTGTTGCCATAGTACTGGATGGACAGGTGGTCCAGGCTGACAAATACAACCACATGGCCACAGTCCTTGCTCCAGGCCATCTTGTTTTGGCGAAGGTGCCAGTTGCCAGCCAGGGTGGTCTTGATGCGCTCATTGGCCAAGAGGAGGAAGAGATTGCATGCCACCCACACCACACACTTCTTGTGCACACAGAGCTTGCTCACAACAACTGCCTCCAACACCAGGTTAGCCATGGAGCTAGAAGACAATGACAAAGAAAGGTCCTGACAAAGAGCAACATCATGGGCAGACAGCTTGTGCAGGACAGCATGGAAGTCATAGTTGCTGAAGAGGGTATTGTCAAACATGCAGTAATTGAGGGCAAGAGCACTTAGAACAAGCATGTGGAACTTGAGCTGCTCAGCCTCCCAGGAGACATTGGTGCCCTCCTCCTGCCTGGCCATGCTTCACAGGAGGAACCAGAACAGTACAGTGAAGCTCTGCTGCACAGCAGATTGATGAGTGCAAGCAGCCTTCAAGTCTGTCCATGTAGTGAGTGCCCATTTGCCTGCAAGAAACAAGGCCCACAAGGACCACTGGTGAGTCATCCATTTGTTGTTTGTTGATTGTGGCAAGTGTACCTTAGTGAGCAGCCAAGGTGCTTGATCTCTTGCTTAGCTGAGGGCAGAGAGCAGTGGTCCAGAAGGTTGTTCCAAGAACTTGTGGTCATTTGAAATGAGAGGTCACAAATGACCATGGAATTTTTGTTGTGCTAAAATTGTGTGAGATTTGACATTTTTGATTTATAGGGCAGTTTTGAAGATTTGGATCTGCATGTGTGATTTTGACATGCTAGACTGCTGCATATAAGTGATATTGAGAGACTTGAGATGAAAATGATTTCGTAAAAACTTGGAATTTGTGGAGTTAAAAGTGATTTTAGCAGTGTGAAATGGAGTGGAATTTTAACTTCAGGAATAGTGCTCCAATTTCCAGATCAGACTGGAGCACAGGTCTCATCTGGTTGTTGAGATCCAGTGAAACATCTGCACACATGAGGGAAGGGGAGACAGAGGTGGGTGGGTCAGCAGTCAAGTGGTAGGACCCATCCATTGCTTCATCCAGCCAGTCAAGGAAGATGGGTGGTTCAACTGACCACACCAAGCCACACAGCTCCTTTCTCACCAGCAATTGCCACAATGGCTCCATCATC